AAAAAAAGGGTTTTTTTTGTTTGTATCTAGAAAAACGTAATTTAATTAAATGTTATTCTTATTCCGGTCCTGTTTTTCAAAAATTATTGCGCATAAATTAAAAATTTAGTGGCGGTGGTGGTGGTGGTGGCGGTGGCGTCGGCGGCGGTAGTATTTTATATAAAACGGTTTAACATTTATGATACAATCTTTTACCATCGAGTTTGTTTTCGTAATTGAGGTCACGAGACCATCCCTTATATACAACAACCCTTCTCTTTATTCGGGGGTAGATAAGTGAAATTTACTGTTTTTTTTTTGTTTTCGTATACGAGTAAAATAAGAAACAAAGGACAAATAAAAATTATTATTATTATTCTTATTATTAAATTCGGTTTTTGAAAATTTTAATTTTTTCATTTTACTCCCGCAAAACCGATCATCATTATTATTATTATTTTTTATAACCGCAACGGAAAAAGAAAAGACAAAACAAACCGAATCCGATCGCGGTGGTGAACTTATGGATATGTGTGAACTGGAGGAAACCACTAAGATGGCGGCGACGACGACGACGACGAAGACGATGATGATGACGATGATGACGATGACGATGACGATGATGACGGCGACGGCGACGACAATAAGAAAAATCTTTTTGATAAAATTTCGATATGAGGAAATCGTTCATCCGTGAAGAAAAGTAATTAACGGTTAACAAAAAAAGAACCGAAAAAAAAAAACGGCGGCCATATTTAATTTTTTCCTTCATTGAAATAACATATAAACATGTGGAATATACTCCTAACCTAAACTGGTTAAACTATTTTTTTTTTTTAACAATGTTTACTTTTAACAATAAGACTTAATTACGAATCAATCATTTTGTTTTCTTTCGGTAAATAATTAAACCTTAAAGGGGGGGAAGAGAAAAAGGAGGAGGATCTAGGGAGGTGGGGGAGCGAGAGGGGAAAAGGCGGCGTTTCATAACAAAAAAAAAATTTTTTTTTCGAAACAAAAATTAAAATCATTGTTTTTTTTTTTTTTTTTTTTGTTCAGTCATTAATAATTGTGAAAAAGTAAAAAGTTTTCTTTTCTCCCCTCCTTGCTTCCCTCTCCCCTCTTCTTTTTTCTAATTTTTATTTTGTCGTCGGTAGTTTTGTCAGAAAAACGTCGGATGGATAATCATGTCTGCCAACCCCCATCTCGGTTTCTTAATTGCATTTATTTTTCTTTGCCAATTAGTTTATTTCATTATCCTTTTTTATTTAAATTTTGTTTTGTTTTTCCTTTTTTCCTTTTTTTTCCTTTCGTAAAATTTTATTTTAAATTTATTATTATTATTATTATTTAAATTATTATTAATTTATCTATAAACCTGTTATTTTAATGTTTTTAAAAAAAAAATTTTTTTTTATTGCGAATGTTGCGAACGTGCCGATGACATTACACCTGCGTCGATGTTAAAAAAATCATTTTTTTTTTTAACGTTTTCGACTCGTAAATATGGCGAATTAAATATAATAATAATAATAATAATAATAATAATAATAATAATAATAATAATAATAATAATAATAATAATAATAATAATAATAATAATAATAATAATAATAATAATGATAATAATAATAATTCATAAAAGAAAAAGAAAAGAAAAAGAAAAAAAAACTTTTCTCTCAATTAAATTAATTTTCTGACAATTTCTAAATAATATGAAAATTACACTTAAAGAAAAAAATTTTTTTTTTTTTTTTAATGAAAGTCTTAACGGATTTATAGTTATAATAAAAATTATCATTCAGGCACGTACATTGAATACCTGAAAATTTTTTCATTTGAATAGTAATAATAATAATAATAATGATAATAATAAAACTCAATAATTTTTTTTTTCTCTTTTCCTTTTTTTCTTTTCTTTTCTTTTTACCGAAAATTATTATTATTATTGTTTTTTATTACGTCGGTGAAAATTTTAGGGTCTTTACCGAGAACAAACGCTTACGTAAAAACCAAAAAAAATTGTGAAGGGGGAGGAGGGAAAACCAGAAAAAAGAAAAAAACTTTTGACAAGTTTGAATTTGTTCGTGTCAAAATTACACGTATAGATTTGGCAGTAAAAATTAATTGAGTCACCTCATCAAAAAATTATGACGTGGTTTTAACGTGATCAACCTTACTTAATACACGTTCAAAAGTTAAACACGTGTGTGTGTGCGTGTACGTGTGCACGTACGTTTATTTCCAATTTTTTCTTTTTTTTTATTACTTTCTTTAAATTAATTTAAAAAATAAAAAGGTTTTTCCCACTCGAAAATTTTTTTTTCTTTTTCGAATCAATCAATCAATCAATAAATCAATCGATAATTTTGATCGATGACGTAAACATATTTATTAATTAATATAATTATTCATCGATTAATTAATTATTCTTTAGTGATAATTTTATTAATTAACGCCGAGAAAAAGAAAAAAAAAAGAAAAAAAAATGATTGGAAAAATCTTAAGAGGGGTTTTAGTAATAGGGAAACTCGTGAGCGTAAAAAAGTGGCTCCAAAAGGCTAAAACGCTCCAGGGTTTCGCGAAGAAAAACCCACCCCATTGATTAACTTCTATTTACTCAGCATCAGTGAAAAAAAAAGCACCCTTATTTTCTATTTTGTGGCTATTCATATTCTCGTTTTGATTACCAATATTGTTTGAATAATTCAAAATCTATTGATGATGATTAATTTTTTCAATAAAAAGTCATAGAGTAACAAGAGAAAACTTTAACTTTTAAAAAGGAGCGAGCAAAGAAGGAAGGAGCGAGGAGGGGGGCTCATTCAAAAAAAAAAAAAATGTCGGAATATAAAATTGAATAATTAACGGGAAAAGGTAGATTAGATTAGGTGGTAGAGTTTTATTTCATTTGAGATAAGAGATAAATGTTTAATTAGTACCGGAAGGAAAAGCGATCAGGACCGGAAAAAGGAGTGAGTTAAAGGCCAATTAACGATTAACACAAACAAACTACAGCCATAAACTTTAGCCTTAGGGATGATTTTAAAGCAGTAAATAAAGATCGTGACGTAGTAAAAAAGAGACAAAATTTTCTCTATTAATGATCCTTTTTTTCTTTTTAATTCTTCAGGTTTTGTTTAACGTGCAGGGAGGGCGACGGTGGTGTTGGTGGTGATGGTGACGGGGGAAGGGGGAATTCGAACGCGGATGGAAAATTGAAAAAAAAATTTTTTTTTTTTTTTTTTGGAAATGAAGAATGAACAAAAAGATATAATCTGTCGTGTCAGGGGGTTAGCAAATGCAATTTCCTTTTCATTCTCTTGAACCCTTGTCTTAGAATTGTGAAAAATAAAGAATTTCTTTAGTTGCCATTGTGCTTGACAATTTTATTAGCTTTCACCCCTTTTCCGTTATCATCATTTCCAGTTATCGTATCTCTTAATGTAATCCTTTGCTGTGCTCCAGCACAACAAGAACAAAAAACTAAACTAAGAAAAAAAAAATTTTCTAAAAATGTTTATTATTAATTTTTAGTGTTGTTGTTTTATTATTATTATTATCGGAATATAGATTTTCGTTAAATAGCGTAAAATTGAAATTTGTCGTGGCACACAATGGATCGAACCTTTTCCGAAAAGAATAACAAAAAAAAAAAGAAGAAATGTCTCGTGAATTTAATATGTGTGTCGTCGCGTGCTTTATCACTACTACTGCCACGTTGTTTAAATGCCGTGACACGTTAAAAATTAAATATATACAACAAAAAAAAAAAAAAAAAAAAAAAAAACAAAGAATCGGAGAGAGAGTGAAAATTTATTTGATGTTAAAGTGAAAAAGTGGCAGGTTCGAGCCACGGTTTTTTTATTTTCTTTTCTTCTTTTTCGGTGACATCGGCAAGAACAGAAAGACGTACGTGTTATTATTATTATTATTATTGGGTTTTGAAAAGAAAAAAAAATGAAAAGATTTTTAGGAAAATCAATGTCAAATTCAACGTGGCAATAGGTTGACGGTCATTAACATGGTCTATGTGATGACGTGACTCGTGATGAGAATTGAATCACCTTTTGAGAGCCGTCCTCGTAAGCCAACCACAAAACTCCCCCATTGACGATCCGTGTCACGTTTCTGCCCCGTGAATATTAAAATACGTTCTAACTAACTTCTCGTATATATAGATTTTTTTTTTAAACATCTTTCAAATGGTTTTTAACCGTTCGTGGCATCAACGCCACTTTAAAAAAAAAAAAAGAAAAATCATTCCGTACGAAAAACCCATCAAGTGCAACATTTCCTAAGTCAAATTTTTTTGTTTATTATAAATCTCACCTGTAATTTTCATTCCGGAGAGTTATTAGGTTTTTCTGTTAAAACGAACGGAACGTTCACCGTTCTGAAACGTTTTATTGTTAAAGATTTCCTTTGGAAAAGGAAAACTTTGACTTAGCTTATGAAAATTGAAAAGCTTTAAACGTTGAAAGTTAACGCCTATGACAAGCGCTTTAACTCGAGTCAAGGGATTTTAAAAAGAACCTTGTCACTCATATGATAAACGTAACAAATCAGTCTTTCTATAAATAAAATTTATTTTTTTATTTTAACGTAATAAAATTACTTTTTTTATTTAATTTTACACTCGTGCTAAATTCTTTTTATATTTCAATATTTTAAAACGTAAAAAGCTCAAAATAAAATGCATATATTTTTAACGTGAAAGGGTTCACCTTAGATTTTGAATTCGAGAAAAAAAAATTTTCTCTTTTTCTCTCTCTCTCTCCGAAAAACCTGATTTTATTTTTCATTTCCAGTAATCCTGACTGGAAAAGTAACCCGTTTTTTTTTTCCGACGTGAAAAATATATAAAACCGTACGTTTCGGTCAATGGATTTTTTTTCTTAACTCAGGATTGTTGTTGTTGTTGTTGTTTTTGTTTTTTTCTTGTCATCGCGAGTGTTTTGTTAATAAAAAAAAAAAAACATAAAAGAAACATAAATATGTTACCGTATCAAGCCGTAGCGATGGACTATGCAGTGACATCATCTTTTCAAAGGCATCAAACTGGAATGAACGTTAATTTAGGATTAACAAGGCCCGATTTGAACATGAACCTCGGAATGAGTTCAGCATTTACGCATTCCTGGTTCGTACCCGGCGATGCCTGCGCCCCAATCTCGCACCAACAGACAGGGCATGTTCTGTTTATTAAAAATTTTTTTCTGCATGAAATGATTGTATGATTTAGTTAAAAAAAAAGAAAACTTTTTGCTGTTGTTTTTTTTCTTTTCTTTTTTTTTACAAGCATCTCTTCGTGCATGACGAAAAAAATGTCAAAATTTCTTTTCATTCTTTCTCTCCTCATTCACACAAAAATGTTTTTTTCAAATGAACAAAAAAACTTATCAAATTCATAATGATAATAATTTGTTTTGTTTTTTGTAATATTTCCAACCTGTTGGTAAAATTTCGTGGAAGTAGAATGATTAAAATCGTACACGAATAAAAATATAAGTATTTTTTTTCCCCACATATTGTGGTGTTATATTGGAAAATTTTTTATTTTCGCGTTTATTTAAATTTGCGTAAAAGTGCGTGAAAAAAAAACGCTCGCGTTTTTCCTTTTCCATATCGAGAGACGATAAAAAAAAATAAAAAATTTTCTTATTCAAATAAAAACCGGTAAAAAAAAAAAAGAAAAAAAATGTTAAAATGGTTTTGTGCGAAGAATTTTTTTTTTTTTACCGTTCCCTTTTCATAAAAAGAAAAAAAATTATTAAGGAGTCCAGACACGTAAAATGTACATTGTGACAGAATTGTAATTTATACTTTTTCACCGTGGAAGAAGAAGAAGAAAAAAAGAAAAAGAAAAAAAAATGAAACTGAAAAAAAAAAATAAAATACAATTTTTTAAATATATTTATTTCACAGTTACCGTCTTCGAATTATTTAAAAAATTATTATCATTATTATTATTATCATATTTTAAGGTGTGCGTATATGCGTGCGTGCACGAGTACAAACGCCATGTTTTTTTTGTTTTTCAAGGTATCGCTATTTAAAAATGTCTGCCAAAAAAAAGTCGATCGTAAATCATTTTATAAATTTAAATATTTCTCCTCGATTTGATTACGAAAAAAAACGGGAGAGAGGGGAAGGGAGAACGGAGGGGGGATTTTTTTTTAATTAAAGAAAGAAAGAATAAAAAGAAAGAGAGAGAGAGAGAGTATTCAAAAAGCAAATAAATAAGAAAGGAAAAGAAAAGAACACGAAGGAAATATATTACACAAATAAGAAAGGTTAAACCAAACAGGAGTCAAAAAGACAGTTAAAAAGCAATAAAACCAAAATTAAAGTTCATAGAACATGATGACAAAGAAATGATGGAGAGTGCCGGAAGCCGATTGGTGAATCGGCCATATTGACCGGAAATGGACGTTACCTAAACTCGAACGTGCTTTTAGAATAAATTTGAATTCTTTTTTTTTTTTTTTTCCACGGTATCATCAATTAACGTGTTCGAACGAACCAAAGTTTTTTACAATTCAACTCAGGTTATTTTTATTTTTTTTTTATTAAAATTTTTTTTCTTTTTCCTTTTTCCTTTTATTCCATTCCATTGTTTCCTTTCCTTTCATTATTATTATTTATAATTTAAAAAAAAAAAAAATTTCCCGCCATATTTATTTATTTTGATTATTTAACCCATATTATTTTATTTGATTTTTTATGTGAAAATATTCGATGGGATTTAAATAATAATAATAATAATAATTTCCGATCACGTTTGTCATAGGTTGACTTGTTTGCCCACGTTTCAAATCAATCAGAAAATTTTTTTTACTTTAATTCCAGACCCTAAGGGGAGGCTTGCTCATGTTTGTCCAGTGACTCTTTCAATGTTTACTTTTACAGACATTAGAACTTCTCAATAACAATATCCAAGAATCTATCCATCATTTTCTTAATTTTTCTGTTTTTCAAGGGTTTTATTTTATTTATAATAATATTAAACGACGTTATTAAATTTTAACCTTACAAACTTTTAATTTTCCTTACCCCCCACTCCCCTCCACAATGGCGATGATGATGAAACACGATAAAAAGAAATATGAGAAAAATAATCTGGAGGAGGATGAGGGAGGGAAATGTCGACGATATCATAATCATGTACGGGAATAAACTTACCTGTCATTTACCATTGTTATAATATCAAAGGATAAAAGGAAAAATTCGTGGTGAATAAGAAGATGTGAAAAATGGAAAGAAAAAAAAATGAAATATCCCAAGGGAATAAAAAAAAACAGGGTCGAGTGGATGGAAAGATGGACGAACGGACGGAGAATCGTGTGAAAACAAAATTAAGCTGAACTTTCGGTCAAATTGGCTCAAATTGGCCCTTCTTTTATTTCATTCCTTTGGGATTTTTCAATTCTTTCAATTTTTTTTTCTTCTGCTTCTCTTATTCTTACTCTTCTTCTTTTTGTTCCACATTATTAGGTTATCTCTCTCTCTCTTTCTCTT